GTGAAATATAATACGGATATTGGTTATATTCTATATAAGTTTCAAATTTACCTTATATTGCTTTAGAAGAAAATCTCCTTCATTACTATATTCATTTTTAAAATATTCTAAAAAGCTTGCATAATGACCGTTTTCTAGTAGCGGATCTACCACAAAATCTTGTTGCTTGATACGATAAAGCAAAAAATTATACAAATTCCATGTAGAAATTTCATTCTCCTTAAGAAATTGAAGGTGAGTTCATTTTGCAAATTTTGATATAGTTATTAGATAATGATTATGGGTTTTAAACTCTATTTATTTAAGAAATATGAAGAAGCCTGATTTTTACGCTATTTTTCTGATTTTTTAGGTTACATGAGAGTTTTATGATTATCTTGAAATTTCATGTACTGTAATTGTAATAAAACTTGCTATTAAATTGATATAAATAGCACATAAATATTATATATTCCATATTATTTTAAATTATTTAATTATTGGTTTGACACAACTCCTGATACAAATAAATATTGGATTCGATTTTTAAAAATTCGAATATTTGGCTTATATTCATCAAGTACAAAAAAAAATTATCCGGTTAAAAAAATCAATAAGTATTTATTTAATTTTCGCATATGAAATATTTAGAGAATCTACTTTTATATTGGTTATTAATTAATTTTGATGCCAGGAAGTCTAATTCAATAAACTATAACTTTCTTTAATGAATGATGTTTAAACTTTGAAACTAACATCTAGACTTTCTTTTTATGACATTTCATTGGTGTTTCTTGTGGAATATGTGAAACTATAAATATTAACATGTATACGTATATGTCTTCCTGATAATAAATAAAATAATTAATAATTGATATAATTAAAGATTATCTCTTCAACTTTATCATCATTATATCTGAATAACCAAACGTATAATATGTTTTCACAAGCTTTATAATTCTGCCATGATTAAAAAATTTGTATTGCCTATTTTACTAATATCAAAGCAATTTCTTTAAGTCTGTCTTATTATTTTTTTAAAATAACATGTGATATTTTTTGGAATAATATTTAATTTCTTACTATCAAAACATTATCTTAAATAATTTATCCCACTATTAACAATTTCTATTATCAATTCTGTTTATAATAAACTTTATACTTTTTTATCGAATTGATAAGAAAGACCTCAAATCCTGAAGTAATAAAATCCCAGAACAAATTTTTCTATTACTCGCTATAGATTTGTTCAGAATAAGAAATTAAATTAAGATGATTTTGCGACATTAATAATAAATCAATTAAATAAGAAAAATTGTAAAATATAAATCACTTTACTTAAGGATGGGAAAATATCATACGCTATATAAGTAAATTGTTAAAACTATTTTAGTTAAGTACAGTTTTGGGCTTTTCTATTTATGCCTTAATTGTTAATTATTATTGCTCAATCAGATGACTTTATTTAGATAGAAACTGAAGAATATATGGGAATACGGTTCGCTACCCTTCGAAAGCTCTATCTAATATATATAAATATACAACTTCGAAACCCATAGGGAACCATACTCAAAATAGCAAAACAAGACAAACACAACAAATGCCACCTGTAGAGGGAAATCAACTGATGCAACTCCTATAGCTGAAAAGAGAATCAGTTATACTGTCCTTTGTCAATGTGAGGAAGGGTTCACCCTTATCGTGGTCCTTGTACTGCTACCTGCAGCTATGGAACCAGATTACAAAACAAAAACAGGTCCTTGCACTGCTACTGCAGCCACAGAGCCAAATTATAAACAACAGTTCCTTGCACTGCTATTGCAGCTGCAAAGCCAAATCACAAAAACAGGTTCTTGCACTACTACTGCAGCTGCAGAGCTAAATCACAAACAACAGGTCCTTGCACTGCTATTGCAGCCGCAGAGCCCAACATAACAATAGGCTCCTGCACTGCTACTGCAACCACAGAGCCTAAACTATATCCAGTTTTACTTCGTTACAGGAACCTATAACGCATAACGAACATTGCTTATCTGAATTCGGGCGGGTAAGGGAGGGCGATAAAGCCAGCCTTTACAAGGCGAGCAATAGCGAAGAGAAAGATACTCTCTTCTATCAAGACAAGTAGACTTAAATATCCTATACCACCCAAGAATATTCTCACCCTCCTGCATTACCGATTCCTAACTTGAAACTAACCATTATCTCTTACTACTATTATCTATTTACTAATAACTTATAAAAACGTAAATTTAAAATAATCATATACAATCACTCTACTAATTCGAAAATACCTGTATATACAAGAAACATATCAATTTTATAACCATAACCAAAAAAAAAGAATAACCATAAAAGGATACATAACAAATCCAGAACATGATAGACCATAAAGTTATCTGAACTCGCAATAATGATCGCCCTGTCACTTCATTAACAGGCTTTTTACTAGATTAAGAAAGCAGGCAATTCTGTTTTTTTTTCAGACTTTTTTTTCTCTTACGAACATGGAACACTATAAACGATCTACTTTTTTTTCCTATTAATTAAAAGAAAAAAAATTACTTTCCTTTATAGCATCTTTTTTTCACAACATATACACGTGCACAGTCATGTATACACAGAAATAAAAAAAATAAATAAATATTAAAAATGAACTTTTAAATTAATTACGGTTGGACTATTTTGGTATTGCGACAATTAACCTTCTTAAGCAAGATATCGGCTCTGAAGCCATATGCTTCAACGGCTCGTTAGTTAATTTGTAACATCATTTTTTGAGTAAGTTTTTTTTGATCACAATACCACGGCAATAAATAACCTTCTTGAGCAGAACATTGGCTCCAGATATTGAAAACCTGTAAGTACCATTTTATTCGAATAAAATTTACTTACAGGTTTTCTCTGTGCATCACTCATATGTCATTATATCGTAATAATAATCAAATAGAATACTCTCGAGTTAGTTATATTAAAAATTAGTTAAAATTATGATCACATCATTTAAGAAAACATTTATAAATATTACGGTTCAAGTAAATTCAT